GTATAATTAATATTCCGTACAAGGAAATCATGTGGTGTACACATCAGATTTTTATAATAAGGTAACATGCGCTAAACAGTTTTGATTAGAAAGAAACCACTCGCGCGCTGTTGGGCTTCCTCAGCTTACGAAATATGTATTTTAGGTTGGTTATTTACATAACAGAAGAACAAAATAAAATGACAGATTATAAATAGTGCATTTTACTGACAAAATTTTCTTTGGAAAAAAATAAAAGTATTGCAAAGAATAAGAACGATATAGTTAACTTAACGGCGGCCAATAATCAGTGCTGGTGCATATGTTTTTGCAGAGAAAATCATTTTGCTCGTGCTGTCGTATAACAAAAAATATCCATAGATTATTTTTTACAGTTGTTAAAATACTAGTCCTGGACAATCTGTTTTAAGAGAATACCTTCTTGGAAAATTTTCAAAATGAAATTGGCTTGAACTCGCATAACGCATGGGGAAAATTATAAAGACACCAAGCCGCTAACTTGTTTGGTTGCTAGCGACAAATCCAGAACAAACATCAACATCCAGTACTCTTATTCACTCTAGTGAACGTAAATATTTGTTTGTATATTAGTAATAGTATTAAAATAAAAATATTTATTCTAATAAAAGCTGTTGTTCAAAAATACACCCTTGTAAGGCATTTTCTTTGGTTAAGGGACTTCATGTGAATAATTAATTCTGCGTTGAAGCAAGACAATTTCTTAGAACTTAATGCTTCAAACAATTGAATGCTGGGATTCCTAGGGAAGAAAATATCCTTAAAAAGTATATTTCACAAAAAAATATTGAATTATATTCTTATAATGACTTATTAAATAATTAATAATTGTTATAATTATTAAATATAATGCTTACTTATTTTTTACAAAATGTACAATAATACCCTTTATTTACAAAAATACCATACTGAACAACTATATTATAAGCTAATAAAATAACAACATTGTATTGTTTCTTATTAACTATGTGTCATCTTTCCTTTTCAGCTTTCTGTTATAGGATAATGTTTTTAATCCTATTTCAGACAAAGTGTACTGGTGTTTCAAGGACGGGAAGGCAAGAATTTTTAAATTTAGTCAATAAATTTATGATCAACTGAAAATTCATAAAGAAAAACTATTTCAGGTTAAAATTCAATTTCAGAATATCTTGAATGTATATAAAAAAGTGAAATGCAAATTTGACACTGATATTATCACTGTTTCAGCCCTTAAATAACTCCTAAATGTTTTGTTTATTGCTCTTAAAAACAGATCAGGTGTTTAAAAGTTAATACCATAATTTTTGTATTAAAAAAATCTCGAAATTATTGCTAAAGAAAAAGCAGAAACAAAGGCATTATTATTTATTTATACCTAGGGCAAATTTAATTTCTTTGAGATCGAGAAGATATTTAAAGCAAATGTTTATGCTATATCCTGAAATTGTAGAGACATTAGGTATTTTTTAGAAAGAGGCAAGACGAAAAATTAATAACGCCTTCACCGGGAATCGAACCGCTGACCTCTGAAATACCGGCCCAGCTTGCTACCGTTACACCGCGAAGGACGCTTGGAAAGTGGGAGAAATATCTTATATGCTCCCCTTTTTAAAGGGCGACTGGGTTTTAGGACTAGTCGCCAAATCCTGGGTGTGGAGAATCATCATCCACAACCCTTTTAGTTCGGGCGCCACTTGTAGAGACAGTAGGTTAATTGGAAGCAGACAAGATGAAAAATAAGCAATCGCCTTCGCCGTGAATCGAACCACGGACCTCTGGAATACCGGCCCAGCGTGCTACCGTTACACCACGAAGGCACGCTAGGGAAGGGGAGAAATACCTTATAAAATCACCTAATTTTTTTTTTTTTATAAATCAGATGAAAAAGTCACATTTGAAACCCATCCCTTTTTCAAATCAGCTAGCTATCCAGGTATAATCATGAAAATCTTGTTCCGCTCTTGAAATTAAGATATTCAGTTACCAAATCTTAGCTCGCTGAATAATTAACTTTACTTAAAAGAACATATTTGTTATATATTAAGTATATATTGTTCATTCAAAAAACGAAATCTTTTCAGAAAATAACATCCGTTTTAAAAACTAAGTAAATTTCAGCATTAAATATGCCTTAAAAGTTTAAATTTTGAAATCTCCTTAATATTTAACTAGAGTTTCTCTAAAAGCAAGTTTAAAAGTCACATCAAGTTAAGTTGATTAAATGTGGCAGAAATAATAAAACAGATAGATATTTTTCATAGTAATTATTCAAATATTAGGCTAAATATCTTAAATTATAGGTAATATTTAAGTAAAAAGAAATTATTTAAAATAATTATTATCTGCATGTAAATGCATTTCTAATTTATGACAAAAACATGGAAAATCAGAAATAATATCAAATGCAATCGAACTATAAACATTGCTTTTCAAATGTTTCAGCAATCTCACAGAAGGAATGAATATTGCACCAGATATTTTTTAATATGGATTTTATTAATAGCAGTTTAACCAATCTGCATTGAAATTCAGATGATAATCAATGACCCAGAGATTTAGGTAACTTAGATTAAACATGAATAATAATAATAAAAGAAGAGCGGGTAAATTTTAAAATCAAGTTATTTCAAAATAAGAGTCTTTTAGGAAAGAAAACTTTTAAGATAGTATTCGCACCTGTACCCTGCGGCATTCGGACGGTCATCACGGAGAAGCTATTATAGTCATTTGCAACTTTCTTGACAACTCACATCTACAGGTACTAATATTTATGGTAGTAATCCATCTTACTTACAGTCGGAACCCTTGATCTAGTATTCAGGGAGGGGAAAGAAATAACAATAGCAGTAGCTGGCATTTTTCAGAGGTTTAGGATTATTTTCCCGACATTTTAAGGGAAGCTCGGTCCAAAATTGGTGACAGTTTTAAAGGTATTTGTAGAAAATCACTCGACAGGCTAAGGCTTAAGTTGTGAACGGGGCTTAAGTTGGCTGATACGAACAGCGTGGGGTTGTGCTTTATCCTGCTGATAAAGGACACTGGGCATTCCCTGAAGGTAGGGGTGTGTCACTGGCCGCAGCACATCATCCACGTGTCGCTGGGCCGTCATAGTGCCTTGAAAACGAACTAGAGGTGCCCTGGAATCGTACTTAATTGCGCCCCAAACTATGATGCTGCATTCTCGCGCGGTGGGGCGTTCCATAATTTCCATAATTGCTGCCGGATTAGATCTGTCTCTACATCGATGCCCACTCGTACGCAATGACTATCATTGGAGAAACAGAAGCGTGACTCGTCTCAGAACACGACCCTGTGCCATTCCGTTTACCCTGAAATTTGCATAATTTTTGGGCTACTCATTCTTGGTGTTGCATTTTCAATGTCCAGTAGTGTACATCGTGAACGAAAATGTTAAAAAATTTTTTTTTTAAAGTCGTCTTCGAAAATATCATGGTAAAAAATAAAGAACTTACAAATCATCGCTTAACGATAACATCGCTGACATGCCTTTTCAAGTTTTAAAAATTCACATACTTGCATGAATTTGTGAGCGCAAGAAGGAAGAATAAATATAATTACTTTCATATTTCTTAATTAAATAATAAATTTTTCTTGAAAAAATAAGAGAGTAATTTAAGCATTAAAAAACTGGAAATGAGTTGAAAAGTACTGCTAGATATGACAGTTGACAGAATTTTAAACTTATATTGTGACCTTAAAGTTTTATTGGTAATTTTTTACGAAAAATATAGTCTGAAAAAGATTACAAAAAGGAGAATGAATAACTGCATGGTAAAAACTGTTTAATTAATTATCAGATTTAAAAATTGTGTTATCTGCTATAAGTTACATTAATTTTCTACTCATTTTTAGTTTTTTCCCTTCTTAATCTTTTAGCAAAAATTTATTAGCTAATTCAAAAATATAAAAGTAAAAATATTCCTTATTCTTTTTTGCGCTCCCAATTATTATGCGAGTATGCATTTACAACTTTTAAAGCCTGCAAAACGCATGTCTGCGATGGTATCGTCATGCGATGATTTTTAGGTGCTTTATTTTTTGCCACGATATTTTCGATGTTGATGTTTTTAAACTGCGAAATTTTTGAATTACTTTATTTTTGACGACGATGTTTTGTACTACGATGTTTTAAGACTGCGATGTTTTCTCCTCGCATTCTTTTCTTGTACGATGTTTTGAAAGACGACGTTTTCGCCTTGCGTTGGTTTCTCCGCGACATTTTCGTCCGCAATGTTTTTGCCTCTTTGGCAAAGGGCTACAAGCAGAAATAGATAAACTTTAGGTTTAAATATATTTTTAACTTCAAATTTTTGTGAATGATTTAACTTCCCAGTTCAGATGCAATGAATTTTTCTTTCATGATTACTTGCTTGATTTTATTATTGCCGGCGTTTGAATAGTCTTATTTTTATTTTCAGCTATATGCCTTTTTCTCTTTCAGATTTAATGTATTAAAAATACCTTTCTTCGAAATGTAGAAATGTCGGTTTTTACATCGTTTTACAATTGATGATACTAATATTTTTCCTTAGAAAGAGCATTAACGTAAACTTCGAGCCAGCTGTCAATTTTAGCAACCATTTCCGAAATAAATCTCTTGTTCTTCATTGCAATCAAAACAAAACAGTATCAGACGATTATGTTAAACATGCTAAAGCAATAATTTAAATAGAAAATTATTTCCATAAATTGCGAAAGACCTTCTGTACTATGTATGGTGATATTTTGCTGACCAAAATCTGACCCGTAAAAATACATATAACGGGCGTAAAAAGATATATTTATTGTTTCGCATAATATTTTGTATACCGTCACCTTCATGGGATGTAAGAGTTTTATTTATTTATTTTCCTATCAAATGGTCGAAAGTAGACAGATTCTACTTTCAAAAGTTTGTACGTTTATTCCAGAGAGCTTTTACTTGTTTCGACTTTGATTAAATATAACTGCTGATGCTATTTGTTCCTTTTATATTTTAGGCACATCAGAGAACACGCCAATATCTTGACTTTATTTTTCAAAAATCCGGTTCTTGAAAAAGAATTCAGGAAAATTAAAGACACTGTTAGCGTTGTCTCTTTGTCGGGCTTGCCACTCATCTTATTCTTCTGTACAGCTGCTTACTTCTTAGTCATGTCGGGGTAAGTAGGTTATTACTGTTTATCTATTTAAATATAGTTTGTATGTTTCAGAACTTTCGGAAAATTTTATCGTAAAGTGATTTTAATTTCATTTGCAATGTCTGGTACTATTCTGAGTCAGAATATTTCTGTTAAAATAGTTCTTATCTGATAGTGAAATTTCATTCTTTACCATAAACTTTTATGACACAAAACTGTATACAACATTATCGAGTGTTACACATCCAACGTAAGAGTACATTTCGTAAATGCGTTATCAAATAATATCATATAGTTCAGTTTTGAATTTAATTCGCTATCTTTTGAATGCAAATAGTATGACAGTATATTATTAATTATATATAATGTGATTTAGAGTAATATATGGAAAATTTTCAATAATATATTTTAAATTGATAGGCTTATCACTCTGAAATTTTTTGAGATACATATAGAAATGATAATTTGAGATACATATTTGAGATACAAATAGTTTATAAAGCTATACTTAGGAAATTTTATGAATGCTTAAATTAATCCCCTCCAGCATCAAAGCACTTCTGTAGGCGAATTTTCCAGATTATATAGTGCAAGGTCTTCATTTTTTTGAATCGATGAAAAAATGCATTTATAGCCTCATCAATCTCATATTCGGAATGAAAACAACGTCTACATAAGTTCTTTTTTAGATTAGAAAACAGCCAAAAGTCACACTTAGGTAGATCGGGTGAATAGCGACGATGTTCTATCACTTTGATATGCTTTTGTTCAAGAAACTCAACTGTCAATCTTGCTGAATGAGAAGATGCATTCTGATGGTGGAGCAGGAGTCTTCTAATTCACTTCTTGAAGAATTTCAGGAAGATACTTAGTGGTGTACAGTTAGCTGTGACTGTCTTCTGGGCTTTGACCAGTTCTGTACTTCTGAAGAAAACAGCGCACATTACTTTTTTCATGGCACGTTGTCTTTTCGCCATTGTGGGAGTGGGATCATATTCAAAGACCCATACTTTACTTTCTTGGCATGTTAGAACATCAAAACGTGGTATGTACGTTTCGTCACCAATTCCAATTTAGAAATAATCCAGTGGTCACATTCTTTATGTAATTTAAGGGTTTCTTTACTGATTCTGACACGCTTCTCTTCTTGGTGCTCAGTTAAATAATAAGGAACCCAATGGCAAATTAATTTTATATGCAATTCTTCATGAATAATTTTATATATGGCAACGGATCCAATGTTAAGTTCCTTCTGTATCATTTGGTAGGTGTATCGATTAACATTTTCCGTATGGCAGATACATTATCCGGGATTACTTCTGACAACGGCCTTCCTGCGTGTTCTCTTCATCCTAAAGAGGGTTGCGACCTGTGTGATCATCTGAATACAGTACCACAAAATGGATCATCATTTCCTAATGCTAATTGTAGACGTTGAACGCATTCTTCTTGATTTAATCCCATTTTAAAAATTATATAAAATCATATCGCGATAATGTTCCCGCGTCAACTCCATTTTTCCTTCTGCCTAAAATTTATTCTACGCTGAACTATATGCAGTTGTTCAATAAAACATTATCTGCTAGGCTAAAATAGTTCATATTTTCAAATCTAACTGTTAATATTTTTCTGCCACTTATCATCTGCGCATAATTCTATGGACTTCTTACCTTAATTTTAGCTGTGTATTCATACCCATAAGAAGATTTACAAACTTTAATTTTGGGGACTTTTTTAAGAGAGGAAATAAATATCCGACTAAGAGTTTTCGCGATTACAGTTCTTCCTTTATTTCATATAAGTAAGTAAAAAAACATGAAATGATATGTGAATTCTATTACAAAATATAATTTTTCATACAAATGTAATACTAACATATGAACTTGTAAAATTTAAATATTTATATTCTATCCTAAATTACTCCAGGGAATGGCCATCATGATCTATTTGCTATTTTACTCGGGTATTTTCCAAAAACCTTACCTGAAAGTTTGAAGTTTGCATTTTCTCTTATACGAATTCATGAAAAACTCATATATCCATGAAACACTTATGCATACATATATTGTAAGTTTGTATTTCCTCTAATGTAAATAATTTTACATATTCATTACTTTCTGAACATTTCATATATTTGCTACTTTATGACTTCTGCAAGATAGTGTATAAATAAATACGTATCAATCATGATTAAAATCTCCTATATTACATTTTCCCGCCCTCGATGTTTCTTTAATTTATTCTTATAACTATTTGGTATAAAAACTGCTATGTAAAGAAAGGGCAAAAAATTCGTAGCGACGATTAAAATGTTGATATCTTCATGAACGCTATGTATATATATATATATATATGCACAGATTTGGACTTAGCTGCAAGTTGAGAAATCGCAGAAATCAGTGAGCAACTGAATACGTATGCAACTGACAAAGATGAGCTTCCAACCTTGAACTCTAAATTTTTTTCGAAAAAATATATCTACTTACTATACTACATATGCGTAGTAGTAAAAGAATTAGCTGCTAATATTCCATAGAAAATCTTAAATAAACTATCAGATACGGGATTTTGAACGTTTACCCATGAGGAAAAGTACAAAATTTCTGCTGCGATTTAAACCGTACCTGTGATCAGCGATTTTGACGCTCGGCCATCGGTGGTCTTGTAATTCGGAAATCTGCAGTTCGATTCACTTCTGTAACTGCAGCTGGTATAAAATATATTACTGCTTTGATCATTATTTATTGCTTCATCTGAACTAAACATTTAGACCGCAATCAGCGTATTTATTATCACGCAAAGTGTGTACTGTCTGCATCGCGCTAAAGTAATTGCAGTATGAGATGTGTTTCCACAGTAAATTAATTTCGAGACTTTCTTGTATGTTTTAGATTAAATTTTCATCAATTCTATTTAAACTTTCCATTTTAACTTAATATATCTTTCGCTTGTTATCTCTTCATTTACTGTTTTGTAGATTTTTTGTAGGATTCGATCACCATGACGAGATTCCAAGTTTTCAAAACTGAAGTTTTTAAAATTTTAAATTTTGCTGAATAGCGCTGTATCGCGAAATCTCCTTATTTTTTACAATATTTTAACTCTGTCTGTAGAATATTAGTATCTAATTCTTTATGTATTAGTATCTATTCTTACGCACAGGAATATTAGTATCTATTCTTACGCACAGGAAGGCTCTGACTCGTAGAAGTCGGCAGAAACAAGCTTAAGGGCTAGAAGCACTCAACGGCACAGAATAAAATCGCTAGTAATTTCAAAATAGCAAAGTGGGCTCCAATAACACTCTCTAAAATCACTTTCCAAGAACTTCCCTTGAATAGCACTTCTTGCTACCTCATTTGAATATACGCGAGCTATCTTATTAGAATTCTGACAGGAAAGTGAGGATGTTATTTATTTAATTGTTAGTGAAACTAAATCCCCACAATGTATTTCTAGATGACTAGATCTATAATATATATATATATAATATTTAAAAAAAAATTTAATTCATGGTTAGAAGAAATTCTTGTTAGAGAAAATTAATTTACTATCCCCCTCCCCTCCCCTCTTTGTTTATTTCAAAGTCTAGTAACAACATACCTATGAAATTCAAGTTTTGCGAGAAAGAAAATAAAATGGCTGATTTTTAATTTATTAAAGCAGTATTTCGGTATTTCTCAGATGAATTTTAAATTACCCCTTTACAAAGCTATTAAGTGTTCCGTTTAGCTGTTCATGTTTGCTAGTTTCGATAAGATACTTAAAATTGGTCTTTTAAAAATTACTTCCTGAAAGTTTACTGAATAGATGTAATTTGTGGTGAACAAACAGAAAGAAACTTTCTTAATATTTTTTTTTTTTTTTTTTTTTTTTTTACTCTTTTCAACAAAATTCAGTCTGGAAGGGCAGTATGATTGAAATGTTATACATTTCAGAGCATAGGTAAATGAATTGAAACTCTTACGAATAAAGCTATCTGTGGGACATATTAAATTTAATTCATTTATTACAGTGTAGTAAACTGAAATAAAAATTCCATTAGATAACCGGGAGTACCTCAAAGAAATTCTGTAGCTGTAATTAAAACTTAGTGCTATTTATAATTTTCGCACACGCACTTAGTATCTAAAACAAAGAATATCATAATAGCACAGATCGTGTGTTATTATTCCATTCAGACCTTATTTACTCTGCTTGTTATGTATATTTAATGACTCGTAATTTAGTCCAAATTCCGAGATATATTTTTAGACGTGAACACATTGCAAACTTCTTGTTACAAATTGTATTTTCTACGTTCGGAATTGCAAATTCTTCTTTGTGAATTCCCTCTACTGGTAAAGAGTATGATATGAATACAAAACACAGGGCGAAATTTGAATTATTTATTAAGTTAAATTATGCCTCATTTGATACATTGTAATTATACTTCGTTAATGGCAAGACCTGTTATCGGTGCTGCCATCTAGTGAACGAAAAATTAGTTTGACTGAAAAAAATTGATTTAATATTAATAGCGCACTCAATCACAAATGCTATTTATTTATTTTTATTTTCTCTTTGTTTTGTGATTATGAAATTCCTTTTGCTTTCCAAGTTTTTAAAGTTGTAAAACTTTTCTATCAACTTTCGCGTAGAATGGATTGTAAAACCTGCTGAAGTGAGGGTAAATTTATTTTAGATTATATTTCGTCTTTAAAATTTCGGGTTAGAAACAGTTTTCTTAAATAGAAATGGCCTTCTAGATTTAAATTCTATCATTCCGCATTTTTCTTGAATGCTTTATTGATTTACCTTTAGCCCTTTGAAATTACTTAACCATTTATCTGTGATTCATTTTTTATGCATTTTAAAGCGACTTATTTCAGTAATACCTTGCTTTGCGTAATCATATTTACCTGTTTTTCATTCACTTAAAGGATCTTATTTTAAATATTAATGTCAAACCTTTCAATTAATTTTAATGCGGTCAGTGGCGTAGCGAGCATAACTGGCGCCCGGGGCAAAATACCTTTTTG